TCTCGGATTCGCCTCTTTATTTTTTTCTGATTTGCAAAAAAAAAAAAGATTCTGGTTCTGAATCAACTCAAAAATGCTCATATTTTGCCCCCAACAGTTGAGGAAATTCCTTTTCTTCCTAGTTGTTACAGTTTTTTCCATCTATCAATGCAGTGGTTTGATCAAAAGTTCAAAATTTATACTTTAAATTTTAACCCAGCCTTTTTTGTTGACTTCATGGCTCATATTGTAGCATTTGGGGCTATAATAGGATGCCTAGACCTGTTTTTATTTTATTTTCTTTTTCCCCTGTCGCTTCATATTTTTTCTGAAAAAATCTGAGAACCAACAAATTAAATTGGTGTGGCCTTAGCTTTGTGACCTTTCAGCAGTATGAATTATTAACAACTGGCCTGCACGAAACCATCTGGTAGATACTCAAAGCACACCATTTGTCATCAAGCCCATTGAAGTGTCTTCAGATCTCTCTTCAGGGCAAAATACACTTCACTGATTGATTCTGAAGTGGTAGTTCAAATTCAATCCGTAGGTTCTTAAAGTGATAGCCATACACTTCAAAATCTCATTTTAAGGCCACACCAATTTAATTTCTTGGTTAACGGATTCGCCCGCTTCATTTTTTTCTGATTTGCAAATAAAAACAAGAGTTCCGAGATCTCATACCTCCATGAAATATGGGCTTGATATGTAAATGTAAATTTCTTCTTTAATTACGCAAATGACCTCTGCATTAACATAATATATGCATCGTGATGTTAACTTTTGATTAACTTAAAGATGTCCCAAGTATGACATTCCCATCATTCACCATTGAGAAATCATAGATTTTTTGCATTAATTATGCAAATTAGGTCATCATTTGCATAATTAGTATCTGTTGATGTTCCATCTGCCATAGGTTACATACATTACACGTATGAAAGTTCTATAATGTAAAACACTGTAATTATAGAATTTCCTCATTAATTATGCAAATAAAGTCCTCATTTGCATAATTTGCAGTTAATTATGTACATCTCTCTGTCAGATACCTACACACCAAAAATGATGAAAATATGCTGTTCCTACATGTATCTGGACTTATTGGCTTTCAAAGATTTCGCCCGAAAGTCCCCTGCAGTTCCTGAACAAGCTGCTAGGGGGACCAAACCCACACCACTTATTCCTGACAGGAAAAGCTATCTGTCACCAAAAATTCAAGACCATAGCATGTTCAGGACCAAAGATACAAAAACCGGACGTTCTGCTGCAGTACCAAGGTCATCCACCAGGAGGCCCATATTTGACCTTGACCTTTGTCTTCCTAAGACTTATCAGCATACCAAATATCATCACAATCCATAAAGGCGTTATGAAGTTATGCTGACTACAAAGTTGCGGAAACACACACAGACACACAGACACACAGACACACACACACACAGACACACAGACAGACGCCGCCAAAAACAATACCTCCATTTTTCATGGAGGTAATAAAAATTCAGAATCAAAACAGATGAACAGATGAAAAACAGTCCTTTCTTCCTAGTTGTTACAATTATTCCATGACTTTCAATTCAGTGTTATCATTAAAAGTTAAAAATTCATTGTTTAAATTTTGAACCAGCCTGGTGTGTTGTCACTTTATATGGCTCCTATCGTACCATTTTGGGCCATAATAGGATGCCTAGGCCTGTTTTTATTTTTTTTGCCCGCCCACTCCATTATTTTTCTAGAAAAATCCGTTAACCAAGAAATTAAATTGGTGTGGCTTAAGGTAAGAAATAAAGCACAGATAGTTAACTTTGGCCCAAAGCCAGGATTTTGCTGGGGGGGGGGGTCTTCCTTCTATCTCAGAGAAAATGTAAGAAAAATTTTGCAAAATTTGAAAATTGAACCGCATGAAATGGTATTTCCTGCATTTTTGAGAGGATTTCTATTTCAAAAGAAAAATCAGGGACACAATACACAAGTGAGCAGTTTTTCTAAGGATTTCAGTCCTGCTGGTGATACAAATTAGTCCACTTTTTAATGAAAAATGTTGGACCTTTAGATAAAAAGTGGACCTTTGAGTTTGAGCTTGTGTGTGGGGGGGTTCTTTTGAACTACCCAAATGTGTGGGGGGTTCTTTCAAACTTCCCGAACCCCCCTGGCTACAGGAAAGAGAACTATAGTATGATTTGTCTGTTTTGTTGGGAAGTGCAGGTGACTGCATAATTAGGCCCCAGGCCCTGAGGCACACCTATGCAATATATCTTTCTTCTGAATAGACAGGAACTACATTGTACACTTAGAGCTCAAAATACTAATTACCTCCGGGGAAGGAGATATCCTTCCGCGAGGAGGTTTTACTATGGTTCGAAACATTTCTGTCAGCAGCTGTTTCTCGCGATCGGCTGGACGGATTTGTCTGTGGTTCGGTATACGTATTGCTATTGGGCTGCAGATGATGCAGAACGTTTTTGTTTAATTGCATATGTGTTTATGGGCGTCGAAATAAAAGGTTTTTAAGTGCTCCGGACACCCCCGCCATGCTGAAAATGGTAATTACCATGTTGTTAAGGAATGGGGCGGTTGCAGTTTTGGGTCTTAGCATTCAAAAGAGGTCAAACAGAGGGGTGTCTGGTTCCGATAAAAATTTTGGGTGACGGCGCAGCAATGACGGCGCGGGATGACGGCAGGGGTAATGGCGCGGGTGACGGTGCAGGCTGTCAGACTGTGAGACACGTTAATCAACAGTCCATACCGAACCAACCGTCAGTAGCCATCAAACACATACAAACATATTACGCACATAACTTTCATATACTACACACAAACAAATAACCTAAACCAATAGAACACAAAAAAACCCGGAGGTTTGAAATCTACGATTTCCCTTGTTTTCTGTTGTTGTTAGAAATTTTCCTTTTGATTGAATTTCATACTTAACATCTCAACAGTGTGGTATATTTCTTATGTAAACATGTGGTATGTGTTATACTTAGTATTTCAACTTAAAACGTGGTTATACAAAATACAGGAACTACTAGTATGCACAGCAATTGTACATTATACAATAATGGCAATAACCACATGTATTGAACATGGTACACAAAAGATACATGTACATGCAATAAAAGTTTATATGATTATATCCTTCGTTATTACTAAAACAATAAGGGCTAGCATACATGTACATTTGTAAGTCTTTCATTATAGTGTTACAGTTAGCCTGGGTTCCAAACCCATAGCACACTGGACACAAAGTATCTCAGTGAGCCTATATTACAGTCAATTGGGCTAATTATGGGTTTTTGATATTCCTTTTCTAATATAACAAAGCAGTCTTTAATATATTTACCATTTTTACAGTGTTTATTTATGCAGCACCTTTAACTGTTCCCCCCCAGGTTGCCCACCCCATGGTAAGAAACCAGCTGTTAGAACTCCTGTATAACGGCTTCCTGGTACCAGTCATGGGCCCTGCTCTGCACAAGGTGAGACAATCTGTTGTCTGGGCCATTCTAAGAACTGTCAAAATTCCTGGAAGGAATTGGGTCAAGAGGTTTCAAAATATGATTGATAGCATGGTGATTCAATCATGTTTGTGCCACGCCCCCTGTCAACTGCAGTGGAAACTGCAGTATCCCACTCAGTTGCAACATTGCAGGGCCAGATATGCTATAACAGTCTCAAAGTGCAGTCATTTTTTTGTCTTCCAAGCCCTAATCTGAATGTAATGTTGTAAAAATGTACATAACTTTCATTCTGTAAGGTGAGTGAGTAGTACTG